GCGTTCCCCTTCTTCTCGGGCGGGGAATTCGAGACCGGTGGATTCTTTGGACTGCTGGCTTCGATGGCCGTTTGCTTCATCGTTGGCGGCGTACTGCTCTACCTGGGCCGTGGACCCCGCATGCGATTGTTTCGCAAAGAAGCCATGGCCATTGTGGGGCTGAGCTGGTTGCTGGCCACCGTGCTGGGCGCCCTGCCCTACTTGTTCAGCGGAACGATGTACGACGCCGAGAATCGCGTGACGGTGATCGATGCCATCTTCGAGTCGCAGTCGGGCTTCAGCACCACAGGCGCGACCATCCTCACCGAGTTGGACAGCCCCAAACTGGTGCCGCGCAGCATCCTCTTCTGGCGCTCCAGCACCCACTTCCTCGGCGGCCTGGGAATCGTCGTGCTGTTTGTTGCCATTCTAGGGCAAGGCTCTGCCGGCAAGGCCATGATGAGGGCCGAAGTCCCCGGGCCCAGCTTCGAAAGCCACCAAGCCCGCGTTCAACATACGGCCTGGATTCTTTTCACGATCTACATTGTGCTGAACGCCGTGTTGACCGTGTTGCTGTTGTTCGAAGGGCTCTCGCTGTTCGATGCCCTTTGCCATGCCTTTGGCACCATGGCCACCGGCGGCTTTAGCACTCACGACGCCAGCGCCGGATGGTTTGCGATGCAGCCAGGGTTGAATGGGCCGCTGATCGAAATGACGCTGATGGTGTTCATGGTGCTGGCCGGCACCAACTTCGTGCTGTTCTACTTCGTCGCCATCGGGCACCCCGGCCGGCTTTTCGCCGATGTTGAATGGCGGGGCTACATCGGCTTCATGCTGGTGGTCACCGGGTTTGTGGTCGCCTTCGGTCTGCACAACGAAGATTTCACCGACTTCGGCAATGCCCTGCGGTTCGGGCTGTTCCAAGTCGTATCGGTGATGACCACCACCGGCTACGGAACGCACGACTTTGACGCCTGGAACAGCTTCGGTCGGGGCGTATTGTTTTTGTTGATGTTCGTCGGTGGTTGTGCCGGCAGCACCGGTGGCGGCTTGAAGGTGATTCGCCACATCCTGCTGCTGAAGATTCTGCTGCTGCAGATCGAACAGGCTTTTCGCCCCTCGGTGGTGCGCCCCGTGCGGTTGAGCGGTCACCCGGTACCAGAAGAATTGCGGACCAGCATCCCGATGTACTTTGCAGCGATTCTGGTCATCTTCGTCTTCAGTTGGATGGCCATCGTGACGTTCGAGCCCGACTCCACGTGGACCGCCAAAGGTCGGCCCATTGAAGACAAGTTGATCGACAGCGCCTCGGGCGTGGCCGCCACGATCAACAACATCGGCCCGGGGTTAGGCACCGTGGGAGCGACCCAAAACTACGCCCACTTCAGCCAACTCTCGAAGCTCCTGTTCACCTTCCTCATGATGGTCGGCCGACTTGAAGTCTACGTGATCCTAGTCCTCTTCGTCCCCGCCTTCTGGCGCAGCAGGTGATTGCAAGCCGGCTGTCGCCCTTGGTCTTGCCGTGAAGGAACACATACCCGGGTGGTCCAGCCGCATCGGCTGGATCGGCGCAGCCGACAAGATGCTGCTAAGTGCGGATCGCTCCACGCCTCGACTGAAGTCGAAGAGCAAGGGTTCGTAGCAAGAAATCAGAATTCAAGCAGCGACTTCCACGCCGCGTAGAGTTTTTCTTAAGTCATCCTGTCGCCTGCGGCGACCCGGCCGGCGCGGCCGGGCCACTCCGTATTTTTATTCCGCATCATCCAAGGTATGCGAGTTCTCCTCAAACACTTGAATCAACGCCCCGAACGTATCTTTCGGGTGAAGATAACAGTGTTTCCACTTGGGGTTCTCCGAGTTTTCAGCCAACACACGAATACCGTTGGTCTGGAAGTACTCAATCGCCTTGGGCAGGTTATCCACGCTGATCGACAGGTGGTGAAACCCCTCACCGTTCTTCTCGATGTATCGCCCCACGCCCCCTTCGCCCTCCGCAGTGGGGGCGACCAATTCCATCTTCTTGCCGCCCAGCTTGAACGTGAACCACGAAAAGCCCTCATCTTCGTTCGAGCCCTTGTCCCGCATCGGCTCGCCGCCCAACACGTCGACAAACAGCTTCTGCGCCCGATCGATATCCGAAACGCCGATCGACACGTGATCCAATCGCTTGAAGATACTCATCTCGAAAAAGAACTCCCACCAAGTTGCCAAGTAATGAACGACGCTGAAAGCCGTTTCAACGCCGTAGATGAATTCAAGAATTGTGGACTGCGAACTGTGGCCTACTCCTCATCGGAGTCACCCACCGCGGTGATGCCTACATCGATGAACTGCCCGCCGCCGAACTGTCGGCAATGCACGCCCAACACATTCCCGCTGGGTTTCAGTGTCGCGCGGGCTTCCTCGCTGATCGGGAAGTAGCCGTAACGCGTGGTGTACCCCTTCACGTCGATCGCCTTGACCCCGTTGATGAACACCCGGGTGTCGTCGTCGTAGTGCATTCGTAAGTAAAGCGGACCGGTTTCGCCCGCGGGCAAGTTGAAACTGCGACGCAGCCAGATCTTATCGCCGTCCCACTTGGTGTGAACCACCGACCCGGGCGTTGTCTCGGTGCCGAACCCTCCGGGGGCCTCGGTCCATTCCGAATCATCGAAGTCGGGCTTGAACCACCCACTGACCGGTTGGACGGTGGTCATTCGCCAGGTTTGCGGTTCTTTCTCCGAGGTGGCCACAACCGTGGCGACTTTCGGCACCGGACCGTACAGCGGAGCATGGGCCGAAGCCAACGTCGCCGGGTCCATCTTCACCTGCTGGCGATCGTAGGTCATCAGTCCGTTCACCTCGACTTCCACGTCGGTGGTTTGGGTGTACACGGCCGCCGTAAGTCCCGGCTCGGCGATGAGTGGTCGCAACGAATCGATCAAACGCAGGTAACCATCGAGCAGGGCCTCCGGCGATTTCAGATTGCGGTAGCCCCAATTCTTTTCGTTCTGCCAGGTATGCCCTCGCACGGGCAGACCCAATCCGCCGTATTCACCCAGCACGGCGGCCCTGGTCTCCTCAGGCAGGGGAGAGCTTGGCCCGGGGTAGACGTGAATATCGTGCACATCGCCGACCTTCATATCGTTCCATCCGCTGGCCCCGCAAACGATGCGACTGGGATCGTAATGCTTCGTCCAATTGGTCAGCCGCACCGTGTCGTACTGACCCCAGCCCTCGTTGAACACCACCCACATCACGATCGATGGTGCGTTGTGAAAGCTGTCCAGCATTCGCCGCAGCTCGAGTTCGAATTGCTGGGCCGATTCAGCAGTCCGCGTGATTTCACCCTGCCCACGACCAACCGATTCATCACCGCTGGGCATGTCCTGCCACACCAGCAGCCCCATCTTGTCGCACCAGTAATACCAACGTGCCGGTTCGACCTTCACGTGTTTGCGAACCATGTTGAAGCCCAGCTTCTTGGTCATCTCCAAGTCGTATCGCAGGGCTTCGTCTGTCGGGGCGGTGTACAAGCCATCGGGCCAAAAGCCCTGGTCGAGAGGGCCGTACTGAAAGACGAACTCGTCGTTCAGCAGCATCCGGGTAACGCCCCCAGGCCCAGGACCGATCGAAACTTTTCGCATACCGAAGTAACTATCGACCGCGTCGGTCTCCTTGCCGTCTTTGCTGAGCGAAACCTTCAGGTCATACAGGAAAGGATCGTCAGGCGACCACAACTTCGGCTCGGCGATCTCGAGTTCGAGTTCTTCTCCGGCGGTGCCTTGCTTGCTGGCAATCTCCTTCTCGCCATCGAACGCACGAACGGTCACATCCTTCGCATCGCCCCCGGCGGCGTTCACCGTAACGCGAAGTAGTTTGCTATCGACATCGGGGGTGATCTTGAGCCCTTCGATGTAGCTTTCCGACACGGGTTCGATCCACACCGACTGCCAGATGCCTGTGGTCGGCGTGTACCAGATGCCGCGTGGATTGCGAACCTGTTTCCCACGCGGCTGAGTTCCCCCGTCGCTTGGGTCCCACACCCCGACGACGATCTCTTGCGGACCCTTGCCTTTCAGCGCGTCGGTAATATCGAACGAGAAAGGATCGTACCCACCACGATGCTCGCCGAGCTTGGTACCGTTGACCCACACGGTTGTTTCCCAATCAACCGCGCCGAAGTGCATCAAGACTCGCTGACCCGACCAATCCTCTGGCACATCAAACGTATGGCGATACCAAACTCGCTCTTCGCGTCGCATGATGCCCGACAGGGCCGACTCGACAGGGAACGGCACAAGAATCTGTTCGGCAAGGTCGCGCCCCACAGGCGGTTGCTCGTTCTCTTTCGCAGCAGCGAATTGCCACAGCCCGTTCAGGCTTTGCCAGTCGGCCCGCGTCATTTGTGGTCGCGGATATTCGGGATGCACGTGCTGCGGATCGACCTTGTCGGTCCACGGCGTCTTCAAGGGTCCATCGCCCACTTTCCATTCGGCGGCAACCGCGGTGGCACCCGCGAGACCGAGCGAGAAACACAGCAACACGATGCACATCCGCATGAAGAAACACTCCTAGAGCAAGCTGCGAGGGGGAAGATCCCCGCTTGTGTATGAAAAGATACCGTGACGCGATTATAGTCGCTGAAAACGCCCCGCACACAATTGCGTGACAGCACTTCGGCCGCGTCACTGCGAGAAATTATGGACGCCGCGAGGGGAGCCGCAAGCGGTTGCGTAGTGTTCGCCGGCGATTGACCTGATGGCGAAGCGCCGGAGCACGGTCGCCTCGCCAGGAAGACACCCCTTTGTGGCGGTGATGACACCATGACGGGGGTGAGAAAGAATCGGTCACCGCCGATTGATCGGCTCGAGTGACGTGGGCCAGATACAGCAACCGTCGAAATTTTCTTACCGGCATACCATCGCTTCTGTTAGACCCTTGGGTTGGTAAACAAACGTGGCTCCGTCTCATTGCAGACTAGCCCGATGGCAACCCAATTGTCAAAGCATTCGCGATTTCGCCCGAAAACTCGCCGGCCGTTAAAACTCCGGCGGGATCGAAGTTGCCTGGCTGAGGTTTTCGCCCAGGGTGAGCAACCAGCGTTCGTTGCCCGAGTCGATTACGACGTCTTGCGTATCGATCTCGACAATCACGCCGTTGAATTCTCCGAACTCGAAGTTCTGCCCGTTGCGGAGTTTGATGATCTCTCCGCTGGTGCGAATGGTGAACCACACCTCGGGGATATCACCCACGTCGAGGATTGCCGTGAGATAGGCATAGTCGGCCTTGTCGTACATCCCCCCGCCAGCACCAAACAAATCTCGCTTGATGATCCGGTCGTAGTAATCGAGTGACTCGCCGGCCAAGCGTTCCGATTGTTGGCGGCTGAGCTGCTCCTTACGTTCGGCCATAGGTAGTACCAACGCTTCGATCACCAGCGAAAGTTCCAACTCATCGGAGTTCGCCACCGGCGTGATGCCAATGCGTTGAATCAAGTGCAGGTGGTTGGCCTGATAGAAGTCGTAAAGAAATTGCGTCAGCTTCGGTAACGTTGCTCGGGCCCGAAGTGAAAACGGCAGCTTCTGATACACCCCCGGCTTGGAGACGGCCTCGCCCGAGTCGACATGAGCGCGTTCGAACTTCGACACCTCGACCAACTCCAGCAGCCAGTTCTGATAAGCCGAACGAGCCAAGGCAATATCCGAAGGCAACGATTGTCCGCGCCAGGTGTTGAGTTGTGCCGTCCACTCCTTCGCGCGTTCGACGACTTGATCTTTGTCGCTAATGTCCTTCTTCAACCGCTGGATCTTCGCCCGACGGGCATCCAGCGGCGCCTGGAGCATCGACTCGAACAGCGTCTGCCCGCCCCAACCAACCAGAATAACGCCCACCACAGCGGCCAGCACTTTCTCGCGAGGTTTCATTGTGCGGCCTCCTTTCCACCAAGTTTGAGTCCTGGTGTCGGTGCCGAAGACCTCGTATTCGTGTTCTGCGGTGCGGGAGCCGTTTGAGAACCAACCTCGGGGGCTGGCTGGGGCGATGTCGATTCGCCTGCCGCCGGGCGTTCTGGGGCACGGGTGACCGCGATGTAATCTTCTTTCTCGCGGGGCACCACCGACATCGACGTTTCGAACTGCCAGGCCAACGTGCGATCGCGATCGCTTTCTTGCACCCGACGACTTCGCACTTCGTGGAACTCATCCCGCAGGCTGGTTTCCATCCGCTCGATAATCGCCGGATCGCGAACCTGGCCCTGCATTTCAATAGTGCCGCCGCCCGCCGGGGCACGGCTGAGCGTGAGCCGCACCAGCATCGCATCGCGGGCCGGAGGGAACTCGGCCGAAAGCTCGCGCAACTCCTCCAGCCACGAGACGTCGCCCTGCTGCCATTGCTCGATCGCCTTCACGGCCTCCTCGGTGTTGCGAACTTCCTTCAGCAGCTTGGCCTGCTCTTTGGACAGCGCCGTGAGATCATCAATCTCCTTGTTCAGTTCCGAGAAGCTACTCCAGGCAAACCACCCCAGGTACAGTGCCGCGGCGGCAGCAGCAACACCGCCGGCGATGAACATATTTCTACGGTCGGGCGGAACCGGCGGACGCCGCGGGTGGAGGAAGTCCACCGCATGACTGGCATCGTTCGCCTCGTCGGCGATCATCCCCAACAATGCCGTGTATTGTCCTCGATGCTCGGGCGGCCCATCGCTTAGATCGCCCCCCAGATTGAAACCCTCGAAGGGGTCGAACGTATCGACCGGCACATCGAGCACCCCGCGCAGTCGGGCGACGAGGTCTTCGTGGTCTGCATTGGTTCCGCAGATGTAGATCTGCTGCACCTCGCCGCATCCCGTTTGGTTGGCCACCGCAACCAACGTGCGACGAATCTCGGCCAACAGCGGCACCGGGTCGTCGTCCGAAGGAAGACGCATACAACGCGAGACGCGAACTTCTTGGCCGCTCACCACCGTCAAGTCGGCCTCGTCGCATTCCACGTCGATAATCAGGCTGACCTTATCATCGTCGGCATGCTGTGAAATAAACAACGAACCCGCGGCTAGCGAACGCACCAGCAGCCGCTGCGGTACCACGCCCGCCTTCTCGCACAGCCGATTGATCTGATTCACTTGGTCGGGAACGATCGCCGTGGCCAGTACCGAACGCGAATCGCCCTCTTCATCGCTCAGCGGGACAAAGTCCAACAGCGAGCCCTCGCCCATCGAGGTCAACTGCCGCGATGCCTGGTGCTGCACCATCTGCGCCAGTTCAGAATCGGGGCATGGCGGCAACGTCAGCTCACGCAGATCGACCGCCGCACGGCTCACACCGACAATGGCCCGCCCACGTTGCGGGCGCTTGCCGTCGAGCGCCAACCGCAACGGCTCGGTAAGCTCTTCTTGTGTATCGGTTTGCCCCTGATCGGTGGGCGAAACGGTCACCTTCCCGGCCGAGGTGATTGTGACCTTCCCGCGCGTGACGTTGGCGGCCACGTATCGGGCCTGGCGACGTTCCCACTCGATGGCTAACAATTTTGGCATCGTGTTTTGCCTCTTACGCTTTTTCGACCTCGCAGGTCGACAATGCACATGCGGCTGTTACCGCATTGCGGTTTGCGGTCCCTCTCCCAATGGCCCGTTCAGCAGACCCTCGGGATAGGCTCTTCCCAGGTGACGCAGGTCTCTCCATTCCACGATGCGCGGGGGGCGCACCGATGCGTCAACCACCAATTCTACACGGGCTTGATACCCGCCGTCATCGAAATGTCCCACAACCTGCCCCCGATGCACGTTGCCCCCGCAGGTAACGTACTCCAGCAGCGGTTTCATCTTCTCCAGGTCAAACACCCCCTCGGAGACGAGCCACGTGGGGTGTCTGCGCGATTCGCTGGTGCTCGCCGACCCCGAATCGCGGCGACTGACGATCGCGTCGACGTCGGCTTCCTCGAGCCCTGGAATGCCTGCAATCACTTCGGCGGGGGCCAAGTTGATATTGATTCTGCCAGCAATCACGGGGGCCGGGTTCACCGTGACAAAGTCGAGCCACTTGGGAAGCCACTGGTCGAGCTCGGCCTTCTCGGCTCCCATCGGGCTCGTCACCACCTGGGCTTCTTCCTTGCCGGCGAACATGGCACTCACCCGGGTGCCCGCCACATCGAGTGGAGTGGTAAATGTATGAGTCGGATCAACGGTCCAATCGATGGTGCCCGGAGTACCCATCACCGACTCTGTAGATGTGGTCGTACCGAACTGCCGGTACAGCACCACGAAGTCGGCCACCTGCTGATCGAAGTTTTTCAGTAATCCCGCATGCAGTGCCCGCAAGTCACTGTGGTTCAAATCGAGCTTCGGTTCACCGTTGGGGTCGAGATTCGCCTCGGCACTGTTCAGCGTGAGCCACCCCACCCAACCTTGGTGCGCCATCGAAGGCCCACCCGTCGCGTCGCTTGAACTCGAACTCATCCCGACGACCGACTCGCTGCCGGCCACTTCGATGGGCTCGAGCACTCCGTTGTGATTCTGATCGCTGCCCAACAACAACTCGCGGGTAACATCGCGAACCAACAGCAGTTCTTCGATGGCTTCGACCGGCCCGTTGCGTGGTTGATACGGAGGATCGAGCCCGGCGTAGTAGTCGGCCTCACTACCGAACTCGCGCGGGTCGTTGTCTGCATCGATCCAGTCGAGCAGCGAGTCGGCAATCTCGTTAGTCATCTGCGGCAGCTTAAGCAAAGCATGGCGGGCGACCCCGGGTTGCTTCTCGTCCCAAGCCACCAACGCGGGCAGATTGAGCTTGGCCGATTCGTTCGCCACGCCGAAGCGCACCTCGGGAGCTTCTTCGCTGACCAACGGCGTCACGATACTAAAGCGGCCCGTCGAACCCGAGCGTTCTTCGTCGGTCACCAACACTCCGCCGTACAAGCTGGTCTCGACCGCGGGGTCGTCGGTTCCGAAGCGACGCTGCCCTGTGATGGCCAGGTCGTTCTTCAACACCTCAACACCCGACTCGACCAGGTACGTGGCCTGCGCCTGTCGCCCTCCGAGCCGACTGGCACGGTTGGCCGAGAACATTAACTCGTTGAAGGCGTAGCCCGCCAGACTCAGCATGGCCACCACGACCAATACGAGAACGAGCACCAGGCCACGCTTCCTCTGCGGAGGGTACGAGTTCATGGCGTCCCTCCCGTGCCTTGGCTGGAGTTCGACCCAACGTTCGTCACGCCACCGGTGCTCGATTCGCTGCCAGTCGTTCCGCTGCTGGCGGCCGACTCGCCGGTCTCCGTGGTATCTGCCTCCGTATCGCTTCCGCTCTCGGTGGCATCACCTTCTGAAGCTGAACTCTCTGCAGGCTTCCCGCCCAACGGTAATGCAACCAACAGGCGACTTACCGTCCAGGGAAGTTGATCCGCCGTCGAAGCCAGCGCGGTGCCTTCCGATTCAAACAACGAGACGCCGCGAAGTTCGGTGCCCATGTCGGCGGCGAGTGGGTCTTCCGTGGGGGAATTCAAACTCGCCCCAGGTTCGTTCGCATTGCCGGCCATCGCGGGTTTGGGAATGGCAATGGCCACCTCGACCGCCAGCGGTAACCCACCCTGGCTGCGGCTGTCCCACTGTGAAGCCCAAAACTCACCGTCGTAATAACGGAACTCGATCTGCACAACTTCCGAAGCCAACAACTGCGGCAGATTCTCTCCTTCTTCTCCCGAAAGAAAACCAGGAGGCAATGCATCCGCTTCACTCTCGACCGTGCTATCGGGCAAGCTTGAACGGATCTGCGAGGAGGAAATTTCACCTGCGGCCAGGTCGTCTTCCGACCCGGGGTAACCAGCCCAAGCGCGGGCGTAACGCACCAGCCCGGCGGCTTCGGCCGAACCAACCCCATCGGTGATCGGCGTGACCAAGTCTTCCTCGGCCAGGTAATACCATACGCTCACCAGCTCCGGCACCTGAGGGGTGCTCATCGCGTTGGTGGTCGCTTCAATTGAGTCAATCGAACGCGGCATCTCGACCAGTGGTTGCACCATGTCGATCTCAATGGAGTGTGCATCGCCGCGAAGCCCACTGATACCTGTTGTCTCGTACGAACTCGAACTCAACGCGGCCATCGGGTCTTCTTCCGCACTAGCCGAACTGCTTGTGCTTTCACCCTTCGGCGGCGGAACCGCGGCGCGAAGTTCCAAACTCATCTTCGAAAGAATCCCGCGGACGAGTTGCGATTGCTCGACCTCGACATGCCCCGAACTGAAGATCTTCGTGTACAGATTCAGCGACGCCCACAACCCACTCAACAAAGCAATCGAGAGCACCATCCCCAGCAACACTTCCAATAAAGTGAAGCCCTGCACCTTGGGTGCCACCGGTTCTCGAACCGGTGCAGCGCAGCCGCCCGAGGTCCCGCATAGGGGCACTCCGCGTTGCAAGCCGTTCGGTTTTCGAAGCAGTGAACTCATCGATCGCTCGACAGACAGAAAGAAGAACTCCACGACAGCAAGTGGCTGAAACTCGACCACTACGGCATCAGCGACGAATCGAATGCCGAGCCTGCCTGCGGCTCCGCACTCGTGGCCGCTGTCGATACCCAGCGAACCAGGCTGAACTCCAGCGGGGTCGACGGCTCGGGCAAGTCTTCCTTGACCGAAACACGCACGGCCATCATGCCTTCACGTTCCACCGGTTCCATTTCAATGCTGTACAGCCACGCCGGATCTTCATCGAAAGGAACATTCTCGATCGACTCCGGCGGCTCGAGCCCCAGCACGATTCCTTCAAGCTTGTTCTGGCACAGTTGCTGAGCACGGGCCATCTTGCTGGCCTCGCGGGCGTTGCGAAGCCCTAAGTGTGCGAGTTGCCCCAACACCACAATCGCCCCCAACAGAATTGTGGTGGCAAGTAAGATTTCCAACAGCGAGAACGCCCGGCGATGTCGGTATTTCATCGCAGCTCCTCCTCGGTATCGGTTTGAATCTCACCCAAGGTCGCGGTCCCCGTGATTCCGCGTAACACCACGCGTAGCGTTCGCCCGCTCTCGTCTTGCAACACCACGATCGAGTCGGACGTAGTTCCGTCGGGGAAAAACAAAATCGGGTCCGACCAGTCGGTTGCGTCGCCGAGTCCGCCTTCGAGGGCCATGCTTTCGTCGAGCAATTGCGTATCGACCGCGGTATCGTCGATCTCGAGTTCGCTACCGTACAAGTCATCGAGTCGATCGACTGCGGTAAAGGTGATCGTCTCGGGCAAACGTTCCACTTCGACAGCACTCACTTCGGCCCGGGGCGACTGGTTACTGCTTAATCTTGCACCATCGTCTTCAGTCGTTTGCCACGGCGGTGCAGCGTATGGCATTTGCGTGTACTGAGAACCCGCCGGTGCGTAACGCCACGCGAGCGTCATCCCCTGCTCCATGGCATCGAGCCGGGCTTCGGCCCAGTGGGCGCGCAACTGACGGCCCGCATCTCGAAGCCGCGCGCTGGCCGCCGGGCCGCGAAGCGCTGGCCAGCTAATTCCGGCCAGCGCCACCAGGAGACCCAATACCAAGAGCAACTCGAGCAGCGTGAACCCCTGTCGGTCGTTCTGCTGCCGCCGAGGGTTTCGCATTACAGATCGGCAAGCTCGTTTTCACGATCTTCATCGGGCCAGTTGCCGATGTCGTCGTCGGTGCCATCTTCACCATCGGGACCAAGCGACCAAATGTCGGGGAAGTCCTTGGTGTTTCGCGTGGGTGGGTATTCGTACTGGTACTCGTTCCCCCAGGGGTCGATCGGAATCTCGCTATCCAAGTAAGGACCCTGCCAACGGTCGGGCGTCGTCAGATCGGCCGGCTCTTCGATCATCGCGGCCAAACCCTGCTCGGTCGTGGGGTAGCTGTTCAGGTGCAAGCGATACATATCGAGCGAACTCTTGAACAAGCCGATTTGCGTTTGGGCCGAGCTGATGTTCGCACCCTCTTGGGCACCCATGAACCGCGGGGCCACCAGGCCAATCAGGATGACCAAAATGGCCATCACCAACATCAGTTCCATCAGCGTGAAGCCACTTCGGGCCTGCTTCTTCGAATACTTGCGTCTCATTGCTTGGGTCTCCTCTGGTTACAAAAAACTGATTCGTTTGATTCACTCACTAAGAAAACGAGGTGCTCATCTGAATCACCGGCAGCAACAGCGCGATGACGACCATCATGATCACCACCGCCATCACCAACAGCATCATGGGTTCCAACAGACGAACGGCCAGATCGAGCTGACGCTCGGTGCGGCGATCCATTCCGTCGGCCACATTGATGAGCACCTTTTCCAGCGTGTTCGATTCCTCGGCCACGCTGATCATTTCAACAACGGTCTGCGGAAACAGCCCACAGGCTCTCAGCGGCGCGGAAAGCGTTTGTCCGCTGGAGATGTTCTCACTGGCCTGACGGATGGTGTCGGCCAGCACTTTGTTTCCGGTCGAGTCGCTGCTGATCTCAAGCGACCGCAGAATGGGCACGCCATTTTTCAGCAGCGTTCCTAATACACGGCAAAACCGCGAAATGGCCAGGTTCAGGTAGACCTTTCCGGCCAGCGGAACTTTCAAACGTGCGCGATCGATTGCCCATCGCCCACGTTCGGTCTTCGCGTATTGCACCAGCCAGAAGAACCCGCCGACCAGGGCAATCAGCACGAAGATCCCGTAACTTCCCAGAAAGTCGCTCAGAGCCAGCAAGCCGATGGTGAGTGCCGGCAGCTCGCCCTTCTCTTCCAGGCGGGAGAACATCTCGGCGAATTTGGGAACGAAGAACACAATCAGCACCGTGACGGCAATCGTGCCTGCTATGGCCAACAGCGCAGGATACGTCGCGGCCCCAATCACGCGACCTTTGATATCTTCCTGATGTTCGATGAAGGCCGCCGTGCGTTGCAGCACATCTTCCAGGAAGCCACCCTCGCCACCGGCCCGCACCATGCTGATGGTCAACTCGTTGAACACGCGAGGGTGTTTTGAGAACGCCTCGTCGAGGGTCGCCCCTTCGGCCACCTGATCGTGCACGTCGCGCATCACTTCTGCCAGTTGCGGATAGGCAGACTGTCGCGAGAGCAATTCCAACGCCCGCAGTAGCGGAACTCCGCTTTCCAGCAAGTCGCCCAACTGCGCAAGCGTGGCGGCCAGCGCTTGGGCTTTCACTCGCTTCTGCTGGCTGAAACGGCTTGCAGCTTTAGCGCCACCCTCGACCTTCAAGGGAAACAGGTCGCGCTCGCTGAGCATCCCAATCGCTTCGTTCGATGTGGAGGCGGTCAGCGTGCCGACGACTTCATCGCCGCTGGAAGTGCGTGCCGTATATGCGAATTCAGGCATGATCGTAGGGGGCAGGAAAATAACGAACGGCGAACACGTCGACCCCTCTGGCGTGCTCAACCTCGAGCACACCAGCGGTCCGGGCGTCTCGCCTCGGCGGTTATCTCAGTTGTAAACGGTGGGATTCAGTGGGGTGGGTGAGCCTGCATGAGTCTTTCGTCACCGAGGCTCGCTGGTTCGAACGTTTCATACGCTCGGGTTGGTATTCTCGCTTCGCGGTGCAATCTCGCCCGCGGGTATGTTTTGTTTTCGCTCTACTGCAATCGAACTTCGCCTGGGTGCCACTCACACGAGGTTCTATTACCGCGCTCCTAATCAAACTTCGTAACACGCATCACTTCTTCGATGGTCGTCCGCCCTTCCAGCACGTTGCGCCAACCATCTTGCCGCAATGTACGCATACCGCTGTTGACTGCGGCCGTTTTGATCGCTTGTGTCGGGGCCCGTTCCACAGCCAGTTGACGAATGTCGTCGTTGTTGGCCAACAGCTCGAAGATACCGGCCCGCCCGCGGTAGCCCGAGCCGCGACAGTCGCGACAACCGTTGGCCTTGAATATCGGATGATTGCTGTCGACCCGATCGCGAGGGAAATCGTCTGGAAGTTCTTCGCTATCTAGATCGACCGGCTGTTTGCAGTCGGGGCATAAGGTACGCACCAAGCGTTGAGCCAGAATGCCCTCCACGGTGCTGCTGGCCAAGAACGGTTCGACGCCCATATCGCACAACCGCATAAAGGCCCCCGCCGCATCGTTGGTATGCAGCGTGCTGAACACCAAGTGGCCTGTCAGTGAGGCCTGAATGGCGTTCTCGGCCGTTTCGTAGTCTCGAATTTCACCCACCAGCACCACGTCGGGGTCGTGACGCAGAATGGCCCGCAAAGACGCGGCGAAGGTCAGCCCGATCTTCGATTGCACCTGAATTTGGTTGATGCCTTCGAGCTGGTATTCCACCGGGTCTTCGGTGGTGATGATCTTCGTCTCTTCGTCCTGAATTTCTGCCAACGCACTGTACAGCGTGGTCGTCTTACCAGAACCCGTAGGACCGGTGACCAGGATGATGCCGTGCGGCAGGTTGATGATCGAGTTGAACTGGCGATAAACGTCCTCGGGCAAGCCGACGCCGGCCAGCGAGAAGTTCATCTTGTCTTTGTCGAGCACACGCATGACGATGCCTTCGCCATGCAGCATCGGAATGATCGACACACGAACATCGACTTCCCGCCCGCTCACTTTCAGTTTTATACGCCCGTCCTGCGGCAGCCGCTTCTCGGCGATGTTCATTCGGGCCATGATCTTCAAACGGCTGACAATCGCCGCTTGAAAGTGATTGATCTCCGGCGGCGTGGGCTGCGATTGCAACACACCGTCGATGCGGTAACGAATTCGCAACCCTTTGGCTTGCGCCTCGATATGTATATCACTCGCCCGGGCTTCAATCGCTTCGACGAGGATTTCGTTCACCAAGCGAACGACGGAGGCCTCTTGCGCCACTTCAGAAGCTTCAGACCCGTCGAGTTCCAGTTCCTCGACCAGTTCGACTCCGGCTTCTGACTCGCGTTGGGCCAACAGCCCGTCGATGGTTTCGGAACCGACGCCCAAGTGCGTCTTCACCAGCTTGTCGATTTCCTCGGCCGATGCTAGCACCGGTTCGACCATCAGCCCGGTCGACGAACTGATCTCGTCGAGGGCATACATCTCAAACGGATCGCTGGTGGCCACAACCAAGGTGCCATTGCGCCGCTTCAGCGGAAACACGCTGTGGCGGTAGATCGACTTCAGCGGGAACTGTTCGAGCAGCGACAGGTCGACCTTGGTCTTGGTCAAATCGACGTACTCGAGACCCAACTGCTCGCCGAGAGCCGAGAGCGCTTCGTCTTCGCGCACAAATCCCATCTGCACAGCGACCTGGTCGATGCGCGAGGTATCGCCCGCCGAGTCGCGGAGGATCGTGAGCTGCCGATCATCCAGCAGGCCTTTGCTCCGCAGTATTTCGCCAGCTTCCATCGAGATGCCGCTCTTGGTTGTTACGCCGAAAGTTAGGTGGGAAACGCGCTGCGATATTTGCCGATCGACTACCCCAGGGATAGCTGACTTCTGGCAACCTCACTCATCGCAGTAAAGTTCTGCTTGCCTCACATCATGGCACGACCAAATCAAACAATGCGCAGCAATGGGACCACGCGGTGGTGTGCTTGAAGCTGGGTGGCAGGATAGTTCAGGTGGGATCAATCGAGGCCCGCCCCAAGGGGCATCGATCTAAGCATATAGGCTAATTGATGCGTGATAGAAGGGTCAATACAAACGCACGTTCGCCGCATTTTGCAGCAATTCGCATGCTGGCATGCAGCCCCCTCGAATGACGGAAACTTTCTTATCATGCCCCCCGGGGGATGCGTTTCTTAGGGTGCTAACTAGCTAACTGCCATTGCCCACATGTTTTATTGCAGCACAACACCGTTGCAACTAAGGTCTTACATAATCAAACCTTGCAAGAACCATCTTCGCCCAGCATACATGCAACATCCCGCTGGCTAATTCACCAACCACTGGCCGAAATCGAACTGCGCGTCATTCCCGCCTGTCATCTACAATAAGAGGGTGGGAACCGAGTGGTTCACCGAAAATTCACACCCACCCTGCTAAGTCACACCCTAAGAAATCTCCTGCGGTTGATGTTCCTTCCGATGTTCTGTGCTCAACGTGTTTCAATTCCTGCTCGCCGACTGATGTCGGTTTGCCCTGCATGGCTTCCGGCCTTCGCGCTGCTTCTCTTCACTGGGTGCGGTGCGAACGAACCGCCGAAGCTAGCGAAGCCAACAATGCGCCCGCCCGCGCAGCCGAGCCCCAAAACGCAACCGGCAGAAACTCCGCAGGACGCAACAGAAACACCTACCGCGCCGCAAGCTGCTGAAGATACCAGTGCTAGCGAAATTGCGCCACCAACAGAAACGGCCGAGACCGCCGATGGGGTCGCTGAAACTCCGCAGGCTGAAAAACCGCAGCCCGCCGAGGAAACGCCTCCGCTGGAACCGAGCGTTGTTGGAACAGAAACGGAAACTCAAACCGAGCCAGAGGCGACTGCCGACTCTCGAAAGAAATTGCCTTCGACTTATGGTGGCAATGGATCGATGCGAGAAGGTTCGCTCCAATCGCCGATGGAGGCATTTCGCGCACCGCCCGTTGAGAACACTCCACCGGTGGTTGAGATTCCCGCCAAAGTTCGCCGTTACGCTGAGAAGTTAATCACCCGTTACGACCTCGACGGCAACGGAACACTCGAGCCCGTCGAGTGGCTGCAAATGCGTGGCGACCCGCGGAATGACGACTTGAACGGCGACGAAAAGCTTACGGCCGAAGAACTGGCCATCCGCATCGCGGTGTACGGTCATCGACGCTTCATCCGTTTGATGCCGGGCCGCCGCGTCGAAGAACCGATGGCCATGGCTGACCCTGCAAACGCGACGGCCGCAACCAACGAAGCCACCGCTGCGGCAGAAGCAGCCGCCGCCTTGGAAGCCGAACGCGAGAAGCGTCTCCGCTCGCGTCAGTTCTACGTTCGCTCTTCGCGTTTGCCCTCGGGCTTGCCCGAGTGGTTTGTCGAAGGCGACACCAACGGCGACGCCCAAATGTCGATGGCCGAATTCTCAGCCAAGTGGTCGAGCAGCGAGTTGGACCGCTTCGACACCTACGATCACGACGGCGACGGCATCATCACCGCCCAAGAATGTGCCCGCGGCGAACTGGTGCAACAACAACTCGAAACCGCCGAAGCCGCTGCCAATCAGGCAACAAGTGAGTCGTCGCGTTAGGCAACTCGGCGGTTACCGGCGATTGCCGCTTGTCATTTCATTACCGCGGACGTCGTCGGGTGCGTTGCGAATCTCGTAACAGCGAGTCGAGTGCCTCTTGCACGGTGGCACTGTTCGTCTTCTTTAGCGGCACCACGCGTACGACTCGGTTCGACTCGATGGCAGCCGCGTCCAATTGCTCGACGAGTTGCTTGACCTCTTCGAACAACACCTGAGCCGCCATCACCACCAGCGAATTGCTTTCGATGTCGACGCTGAGCGTCATCTCGGGGCCCGACGAGACCTGGCTGAGCTGACGGAACACATCTCGCAGCTCACGCGATGAACCGCGTGGGGCTCGAAGATCCGCACGGTCGCCACCTTGCGTGAGTTCCTTCTCGTAGACGTCCTCCAAAACTTCTTGAACATCCTCCGCCCGTGCGTGTTCGAGGGTGATGATCCGAGGTTCGGTATTCAGCAAAGAGTTGACCGGTTCATCGGTATCGAGCACCTTGATCAACCCTTCAATCGTCGGCAAGTCGGCCGCGGGGGCCTGCACGATAATGGCGTTGAGCCGCTGATCGGGCACGATCGTCACATCACCCAACCCGCGATAGCCAAACAACCCGTCGTCGAACAGTTCCTCCAAACTTTCGGCCACCACCGCCGCATTCGCGCTGGTCAGGTTGAACACCGTAAAGTCACGGCCCCCCACCGGCGCTCGCTGCACGATCGTCTTCAACAGTGTTTCGAACTGATCGAGCGCTTCCACATCTTCCGAGGCAATCGTGATGCTGTCTCGCCCGACCGAGATCACAATCGGCAGTTGATCATCTGCCTCGCCCTCGTCAGCATCTTGATTGTCTTGCTGCCCGCCCTCATCAGCCGGCGGTGCAACCTGGGCCAGAACATCGGCCGGAATCCGTGCTTCGACGCGTGACTGATCGCCCGACTGCGGCTCATTAGACGGTGTCGAGGACCCCTCTTCGTCTTCCGTCTGAGGCGAACTCTCTTCTGCTTCTCGCGATTGCCGCATCGTTGGGGCCACAGCCGAAGGGGTCACCACGCGAATCGGATTCGCCCGCATTTGCGGCCACAGCCGGCGAAGTTCGTCCAACGTTTCGTTCACCGTTCCGTTGGGCAAAGAAATCACCCGTAGCTTGCGACCGCTGCCAATGGTCTCATCGCCGATGAACGTCTCGCCCATCTTCGC